TAAATCCTGGAAAAGTTTTTCCCAAGCTGTGATTAGTGAAACTTGCTGTCTGAGATTTTATTTTGAGTTGTCTGATGGATCATAATAATCCATTGATAATCAATAACCTACCTTCTGAGAGAAATGCCACAAGCTACTCAGAGAGAAAGTGATACTGGTGGGAAGTCAGCATCGAGAAAAGCTGAGAGGACAATTTTGGCCTCAGTCTAAGATGGGATTCTCCTGGCTCAGTTTCCCCATTATGTTCCTTTGAAAAGGAATGTTACCCACCTGGCTATTCCTGAGTCTGGCTATGAGGTAGATTTGATACTGTATGGTTAGAAAACTGAATTATCTGAATCCAAACACAGCTAAGGATGTTTTATCCTGTTATATCTGGGGCCTGCAGTCTTTTCTGTCAGATTTGTGTCTTCTAGACTATAGGCCATTTTCCTACAGTTGGCAGCAAACAGCGGGTGCCAGCCAATGTCCCCCCATCATTCTCTGGATGCAGCCTGTGCTCGGTTCCAGTTGACCTCCTCTTTGGGACCTCCTTGAGGCAGGGACAGCTCCATGCCCCTTGCCAGCAGGAAGCAGTTTCAGAAGCCAAGACCTTTGCCTCTTACCCCAAAAGAATTTGGGTCCCAATTGTGTGAGGGGGGAATGATGAGGATGGGATCTAGACCCCTGGGCTTTCCCACATGGCCAAATCTCTGGCATTCGCCTGAGGCTATAATCCTATCAACTGGCCTTTCATTATCTCCTAAACCCAATCTACCTCCAGATGCCCCACCACCACCACCACCACCACCACCACCACCACCACCACTTCCCACCCTTAATCCTATCTAGACTCTATTCTCCCTTGCCACATGGTCCAGGTCACAGGTGTTCTGTTCACCCCAGCTTACTGGCCACTCTCATCCAGATCTTCCTTACAGCCCTCCTCCAGTCACCCCAAACTATTTGGCCACTCCTAGATCTGCCCCACAGTCTTTCTGTATACAAGGTCCATCTTATCTCCATTAAGGGGCTCAGATCCTTAAAATCTAGCCACTGCTCAGATTCCTTAAGAACCTAGCCAATAGCTCAGTAATGTTCAGATTCCTTAAGAGTTGGGTCAATATGGCAGATGTTCTAATAAACCTTGTCTTTGGCTGAAAAAACAAAGATATGAATAGGCAGTTTTTAGAAGAAGAAATCTAAGCTATCAGCCACATGAAAAAATGTTTTAAAACACTACTGATTAGAGAAATTCAAATTAAAACAACTCTAAGGTACCACCTCACCTATCAGATGGGATAGCAGGACAAATATTGGAGGGGATGTGGGAAAACAGGGACACGAATGCACTGCCGGTGGAGCTGTGAGCTGTGAGCTGGTCCAACCATTCTGTAGAACAGTTTGGAACTATGCCCAAAAGGCTATAAAAAAAACTGTGCATACCCTGTGATCCAGCAATACCATTTCTAGGTCTGTATCCCAAAGAGATCATAAAAAGGGGGAAAGGATCCACATGTACAAAAATATTTAGAGCAGCTCTTTTTGTGGTGGCCAAGAATTGGAAATGGAGGGGATGCCTGTGATGACTGTAATGGTGATAGAATGCTACTGTGCTTTAAGAAACGATGAGCAGGAAGGTTTCAGAAAAGCCTTCAAAGACTTACACGCACTGATGCAAAGTGAAGTGAGCAGAACTAGGGCACTGTGCACAGTAACAGCAGTATCGGAATGATGACCACCTGTGAAAGACCTGGCTGCTGCGATCCACACGATGATCCAAGACCATTCCAGGAGATCCAGGCCTGAGTGCAGGTCGGAGCGGACTCTTGCTTTTGCTGTTGTTTGGCATGGCTTCACATGCATACTTGATATCATATTGCAACATGTGGGGGACGAGCTGAAGGGAGAGAACGTAGAACTCAAAATATTTTTTAAAAATGTTAAAAAGGAGTAAATTTTTTTTTAAGTGAGGCAATTGGGGTTAAGTGACTTGCCCAGAGTCACACAGCTAGGAAGTATTATGTGTCTGAGGCCGGATTTGAACTCAGGTCCTCCTGACTCCAGGGCCGGTGCTCTAGCCACTGCACCATCTAGCTGCCCCTAAAATAAGTAAATTTTTTAAAAAATGTAAAGCCTTACTGAGCTCAGCAGACCTAAGTGTTCTAAATATTTGAAATTTAAAAGAGATCCATGTCAAGTTCTGTCCTCAGGATCATATGTTAACTGCACAAGTATAGGATGGGGACCAGTTTATATGAAAAAGAGCTGGGGGTCTGAATGACAGTCCAACTACCACCTTCTTGCCTTTTTACAAGCTCCCCCTACCCCTCACCCCAGGTCTGGAATGCGCTCCTTCCTAACCTAAGATTCTTGCAAGCCCTGGTTTCCTTCAAGATTAAGGCCAAGTGCCACCTTCTGAATGAGGCCTTTCCTCATATTCCCAGCTTCTGCAAATGCCTCCCCTCCTGCAAATCATAACTTTGTATCTCTTCTGTATCCACATATGTATATGTATGTACACAGGTGGACAGGGATGCAGTTTGGTTGGAGCTGACAGCACATACAAAGGAATGCTATAAATAAGCCTGGAAAGGTGATTGTGTGCCAGACAGTCAGGCAATAAGCATTTATTAAGCACCCACTAGGTGCCAGGCACTGTGCCAAGCTCAGGGGATAAATAAAGCCAAAAGACAGTCCCTGCCTGATGAGGGAGGCAACAGTCAGACCACTCCCCCACACCCCCACACATAAGATCTGACAGCATCAATTGAAGGTAACCAACAGAGGGAAAGTACTAGCATTAGGGAGAAGGCCCTTTACTCAGCAGGTAAGGAGGAACCACTGGAGTTTTTTGGTTTTCATTTGTTTTTTGTTTTGTTTTGTTTTTTATTAAAGCAAAGTGACCTGCCCTGATCTACTATGGATGACTGTTCACAGAGCAGGCTGCAGGCTGAATCACCTGCAGGGGGACAGGATGGATGCAGGAGACCTACCTGGAATGAAGGAACGAAGCAGAGAGAGGGAGGAAGCACCAAACTTGCTGTGGTTGGCCTTCAGGAAGGTCAGCAATGAGGGTGGTAACAGTGGAGATGGTCAGATACGGGAGAGGTACGTGAGAGGTGAGGGAGGGCCAAGAGTCTAAAAAAATGTCCGGCTTATGAATTTGGGAAGCAGGAAGTGAGGCTGGAAGCTGGCTTGGGGGGGGGTTGGAGGTGGGGAGGAGTCAGCTCATTTTACAAAATGCATTTATTAAGCATCTACTATGTATACTATGTCATGTGGAGAATACAAAGTGAAAATCAAGGTCGTTCCTGCCCTCACAGTCTACTGGGGGGAGGGGGAAGGAATTCCACATGGATCCAGGCAAGCAGCATTCCAGGTAGGAAGGCTAAGAAATGCCGTTTGGGACCTGCTTCATTTAAAGTGCTAGTGAGACCTTCAGGTATAGGTGTCCCAGACTGGTGAAGATGCGTCTGGGCCTCAGACTCCTATCTGGGAGTCACAGGCAGAGCAAGATGGTAGGGGAAGCTGCCTGAGGGCATAAGACTGCCAAGGAAACTTGTCCAGATCAAAAGGAGCAGAGGAAAGACCACGGAGTACTTGATATTGGAGGGTTGAGAAGAGGAGGAGGAGGCAGAAGGCACACAGTAGGAAGACCAGGAAAGTGTGGCCTCCACTGAGCCAAGGAAATGGTGCAGTCAGTAGGGGAAGTGCTCAACAGTACCAAAAACTACAAAGACAAAAAGGGGGATTTCAAGACTGGTTCCAATGGGCAAGCTTTCAGAGCAATCTCATGAGTGGGGAAAGAATCCTGAATACAGAAGAGAGTGAGTAAGGAAGTAACAGAGAATACTGGCTGCAAACATTTCCCAAAGAACAGCCACAGAGGAGGCTGTGGGGAGAGCCAGAGGGGGTAAACCAAGGGAAGACTTGCTCAGAATCGGGGCTGCCCGAGCACATTTGCAGACAAATGGGAAGGAGCCAGTGGCCAGGAAGAGACTGAGAATTTGGAGGGCGGAGGGGGTGAAGAGGAAGGACTGTTAGGGTAAGGTCACAGATGAGGCAGGAGGGTATGGTTTCAAGAGTTCCAGGAGCAGGCTAACCTAAGCAATACTCATTTGGTGTCTCACTAGCGCCAGTGCAGATCATGCACATTCCCATCTTTGCTCATACTGTACTGCTCCTCACTAGAGTGCCCCTCAGAGATGGCTTTGTTAGGGAAATTAGGATCCACTGGAGTGAAGAAACCTGGTGGAGAAGGGAGAAACTACACTGGACTTGTGAGTCAAGAAGCTGGGGTTTCAAGTCAGTAAAATATAAGCTCCCTGAGGGCAGATACAGTGTTGCCTGTCTTTATATCACCCACCTTTCAAGATTCTATTAAATTCACACACCACAGCTTGTCACATCATTGTGCAGAGCACCATAGGTGCTTAAGAAATGCTTGGTGTGTTTCAGCCTTGTGTTCGTATCTGTGTCAGGAGGCACTTAAAGCTTGCATGATGAAATTGCCTTTGTCTATTAGTAGTTATTATGTGTCACAGAACCCCAAGAGGAATCTGAGAAGGAATCTGAGCCCTCTGCAGTCCCTTAATAAGTACTCGTCCACTCTCTGCTTGAAGACTTCCAGCAGGAGAGCACTGACTATGTGAGTATTCATTCATTCCCTCACTCACTCATTCATTCCCGCACTCATTCATTCATTCATTCAGGAGGTAGTATGGCCTAGTATCTGGGGCACTGGTCCAGGCGTCACAGGATCCTCACACGATGCTCGAGCTAGCCAAGGCCCTCTTTTAAAAAAGGGGACGCGTGGGTCTGAATCTTGTCTCGGACACTTACTTAGCTGTGTGGCCCACATAGCATCCAGATCCTGGGGCTCTTGGGAGCTGTCAATGAAATGGCGCATGCCCAATGCTAGATCACTTTAAACGAAGTCCATGTAAATGTCAGTCGTCACTCCTAGCTGTCACAGCAGAACCACAGAGCTGGAGTAGGAGGGGAGCTCGGATCAGACAAGTGAGGCAACACCGGAGGTAGGGGGCTGGGGGGGTGGGGGGGAGAGGAGAAGGTGCCTCCTGGGCCCCCCCGGGGGCGGCGCTCCGAGGGCAAAGCGGGGGCTGAGCCGCGCAGGCCGCAGCCCCGCCCCCCTCCGCCTACGCGCGCCCTCGCCTAGCCCTACCTCCGGCCGCCCGGTGGCGCTGTGTGCAACTGGCTCGCGGCGCTCCCTAACGGCGGAGGCCTCTCGCGCGCGGTGGCGCGCTCGCTCGCCCGCCCGCGCTCGCGCCCGCCTCGTCTGCCAATCACTCCGCGGTGGGTTGTGCCTGCGCCCGCAGGGCGGGGCAACGTGGGCTGCAAACCAGGCCGCGGGCGGCGGCGGCAGTGACGGGAGGCGGGGGGGCGGGGAGGGAAGGCGGCTGGCCCCCCCGGGGATCCCCCACCCCCACGCCCCCTCCTCTACGCGGCTTGTGAGGGGGAAACCAAGATGGCGACCCTTCCGGTACGGCGGGGGAGTCGGTGTCCTTTGACCCCGGAAGTAGCTGAGCACTGATTCCGTCCTTCTCCAAGATGGCTGAGGCGGTGATGGCGGCGACCGGAGACGTCGAGGAGGTGGCCGGACCGCGATTGCCGCAGCTGCTAGAGACCGGCCGCCGGCTCCTAGGTGAGGTGGAGGACACCAATGAGTCGACGAACTCCAGGTTCATCCAGGAGAAGGTGAAACAGGGCTTGGAGAGCCTGAATAAAGCTTCCCGCATGTTGGCGCAGCTTGACCTGTTCAGGTGCGAGAGGGCGGGGGGGGCGGGGCGGCCAACGGCCGGACTGGGGTGGGGCAGGTGGGGCGGAGTAGCCGGCGGCCAGGGGAGGGGTCCCGGGGGGAACAGGGCCGGGGCCGGGGAGCCCCCGAGCCCGCTGTAGTGGCCAGTCGGCAGCCGAGCTCGGGCTTAGCCTTGTCTCTCCGCCTTCCTTACAGCCCTAACGAGGAGCTGGAAGAGATCTCTTCCGCTGACCTGAAGTATCTGATGGTGCCCGCTCTCCAGGGAGCCCTCACTTTGAAGCAGGTCAACTTAAGCCAGCGGCTGGAGCAAGTGCAGACTGCCCGGGCCCACTTCATGGACTTTCTAAAGCAGTGTCAGAACTACCAGATCACGAAGTTTGAGCTTCCCCCAAGTCCGGACAGCCCCACTGGAAAAAAGTCGGCGGATGGGCCCGCAGGAAGCCAGCAAAACCTCGTTGCCATGGCGTCCCACAGACAAGCCAAAATCGAAAGGTGAGTCAGTGGCTGGGGCTTGATGGAGTACTGTAAGGTGCTGTGTGTTTTGGAGAAGCCCCCAAAAAGGAGCTTGCTGTTAAGGGGGCTTCCTCCTTACCGAGCATGAGGAAAGCAGAGATCCCTACGACTTGCCAGGAGCTACTGCCTTTGTTGAAATGTCTCCCCTCGGGGGCAGCTCGGTGGCGCAGTGGATAGAGCACCGGCCCTGAAGTCAGGAGGACCTGAGTTCACATGCAGCCTCAGACCTAACACTTGACACTTACTAGCTGGGTGACCTTGGGCAAGTCACTTAACCCCAGTTGCCTTAAAAAAAAAAATGTCTCCCCTCACCCCCATCGTGGAAACCGATGTCTAGCGAAAAGAACACTGGCTCCTTTGTTCGGTGTACTCAATTTTCTTCCCACCTCGGTTGCACATTGTATGGCACTGCTATAGGTTATTAGAGGGGACGTTGGTAACCAGCTAGTCCAATCCCCTCATCTTGTAGATGTGTAAACTGATGACTAGAGAAGAGAGGAGACATATGCAAGGGTATTAATTAGCAGATCTGCTGGGGATTTGAACCTAGAACCTCTAGTTCCAAAACTAGTATTCATTCTGGGAGGCCTTCAGCAAATCACTCTGACTTGATTTCTCCATCTGAAAAATGGAGGTTTCCCACTGACACATGAGGATGTTATGAAATTCAGTGGAAAAATCAAAAAGGAATGAGACTTCTGAATTCTTGGGGATAGTCATGTATCTTCTAGACAAGATTCTTCAGATGTGGGTTGGACTAAATGGCCTCTCAGATCCCTTCCCATTCTTAAGATCTAAGAATTTTTCATCAGTTTACATGAGGGTCCTCTAGCTTCCTCAGGAGTCTCCCTCCCAGGAAGAAACTTTGAAGGCTGGGAAGCAACCTATACTGACTTCAGGTGGCTGTTTCTGCCAGAAGGAACAAGAACTATTCGGGATGTATTATAAGTGCCAGCTGGGACTGAGGGCCTCTTAATGAAGCTGGAACCCATGGGGCACCCAGGGAGACTTTAGAAAGAATCCTGGAGGTTGGGTTTGTCTGTTGTGGAACCATGTCTGTATTAGGTGCCATAACTGTAAGTCTTAAAGGGCCTCCCAGTGTGGCTTCCTGCAAAGCCCTCTCTTGATGATATTAGATCCCAGAATCTGGGTTGAAAAATCCAAACTTTGGGCAAATAGTTCATCTATTCCAAAAGCATTCCTGAGCAGGAATTTCCTCTGAAGCATCTTTGAGATGTGATCATGTATCCAGCCTCTGGTTAATAATTATCTAGTAGCAGCATCAGGTGTGGGCCACCTCCACTCAGGCCCAGGTGTGCTCTTTAAGCCGGAGATGGCTGCGCCTAAAGGAGAGCTCACCTATGATGGGCTTCTCTACCACTTGCAGTTTTATAGCTTTCCTCAAAAAGTTTGTTGTAGTGCTCTGTCCATGCCTCGATAGGCTGATATGACCCAGAACTTTTGGCACCCATAACTGTCACGCCATGTTGCCTGATTATCACCACACAGGAAAGGAGGTCAGTTGGAATGGGTTCTAGCAAAGTTGCTAGCCTGACCGATTATGTGAAAACCTGGGTCACAACCCAGGAGTCATTCTCAGGTCTTCACTTTCTTACCCTCCCCTCCCCCCTCCAAGCCCTGCCAGTATCCAATCTGTTGCCAGGTCCCATCAATTTCTACCTTTGCAGCATCTCTTGTATATACTTCTTTCTCTCCTGTGAAACTGTCACCATCTTAGTGCAGCCCATATCACTTTACCCGTAGATTATTGCAGTAGCCTACTACTTGCCTACCCCTCGCCTCAGCTCTCTTCCCCACTCCAGTCCATCCTCCATTCAGCTATCATTGATCTTCCTAAAGCATAGGTGTGACTATATCATCTAGTCTTTAAGCTCCAGCAGCTCCCTGTCACTTCCAGAATCCACTTCCATACAAATTCCTCTGTTTAGCTTTGAAAGCCTTTTACAACCTGACTACTTCCTACCTTTTAAGCTCCTTTCCCCACCCCCACTCCCACTCTGCAATATGGTGACACTTGGAACAAGATGCTCCATTTCCTGACTCCATGCATTTTTACTCTCTGTGCCCTGTGCTTGGAATGTTCTGCCTCCTCATCTCCACTGATAATCCCATCCTTCTGTGAGACTCTTTTCCCGCCCCCGCCTTAGTGCTAGTGCTTTCCCTCTGTTAAGTCTCTGATTTCTCCTGTCTGTATCTGATTTGCATCTTGTCTTCCTGATTAGATTGGTAAACTCCTTGAAGGCAGTCTGGTTTGCCTTTCTACTTAGCATAGTTCCTGGCACATAGATGGTTAATAAACACTGGTTATATTGAATCTGCCATCCAGTGGGATATTTGTCTTGCCCAGTTTTTCGTCATCTTTGAATTTTATGTTTCCATCTGTGCCTTCAAATAATTGATTAAAATGTTAAACACCACAAAAAACAAGGACAGTGACTGTGACACAGAGTCCACCAGAGACTTCCAGAATGGCATTGATCCTCGAAACACTGTTTTGTTCAGGTCATTCTACCAGTTGAATCCACATCATTGCAGTGTGCACCAGCCCATGTCTCTCCCTCTTGTCCAGGGCTTTACTGAAATCCAAATTATTTTGTCTCTGACGTTGTTTTTGTCTATTTTGTCTCTACTGGCCTATGGTTTGCAAATACTGCCATGCTCTTCCCCTTTTTCTAAATCTGGCTACCGGCCTTTTCCCCGTCTCATGGCACCTTTCCTGTTCTCCATGAGTTTTTTCAAGATCCTAGTTCTTTCAGTACCCTGGACAGTAGTTTTTGAGGCCTGGTGACTGGAGGTCCTTGAAAAAGCAGCTAGTTGATCTTATACCATCTCTTTGCTTGTCTTCTGTTTTAGCTCTCTGTTAACCAGTTCTGTTGTCCTTCAAAGTCTAAAAATGATGGTTTAAAGGTGGGAGAGATCTTGGAGAGAATCTAGTCCAATCGGTTCATTTTAGAGCTGAGGAACTAAGGCCCAGAGAGCTCAGGTGACTTGCCCCAGCTCATACAGATTTTTGAGCATGTCCATTATGTGCTCACTCTCAGTGTCCTTGGCAGAACAAATGGAAGTAGATTCAGTCCACTAGTTCTTCTCTTTCTTAGTTGTCTTAGTTGTTTTCTGATCATCCCCAGTGTAACTTTTCAAAGCCCTTATTTCCTTTACCTAGTTATCGCTAGCCTCAGATCATTCTGGGTTGGTGTATTCCTGCCATTCTCACCAAACCTGCTCTTGACTTTGTCCTCGGTTACCTGTGCCTGTTTGCATCTTCTGTCGAGTCTTCGATTTTGTCATTATGGGGACTCCCCCTGACTGACATTGTCAGCCCTCTGTGCCATAAGGCATTAGCGGCCCTTGGCTGATAGGCCATTTCTGCTTCTGTCCAAGCTTGTGCTGCCCCGGCCACTAGTCTCAAGTCTTGGCGTGCTGGTGAGGAGACGGCCAGGCTGGGCAGTTAGCCGTGGGCTGGGATCAGTCATGTCGGTTTGGTGGTGCTGGCCTGGCACTTTGGCATGCAGGTCAGAGGCCCTGACTGCAAGAGCCTAAGAGCCCGTAGAAGGAAGAGTCACTTAGGTGCAACATTGTCAGAAGAGTTTGAGGGTTTACTTCCCTCAGTTTTTCCAACAGTACTATAATGTTACAAGATACAATTGTTACTCCAGTTGCTGCTGTGTCTCTCTAGAGCTAGGAATGGACTCCTGTCTGCATGGGAGAGAGTGCACAAGGCAGATGGGAAGGGAATAAGCGTTTTTAGAGCGTCTCCTATGTGCCAGGCACTTTAAAAATAGGATTTCATTGGATCCTCACCCCAACTCTGGGAGGGAAGTGCTACTGTTATTCCCTTTTTACTGGAAGGAGGAAACTGAGGCAGACTGAGGTGAAGTGAATTGCTTAGGATCTCACAGTTAGTAAGTTTCTGAGGCTGGATTTGAACTTGGGTCTTTCTGACTCCAGGTCTAGCTCTGTCATCGCTGTGCCACAGCCTAGCTGCATAGGGATGCTGCAGGTAGTTTTTAGCCCTTCCTCACCCAGCAGTCCTTTTGGAATAGTGGAGGGCACTCTGAATGTGGGGAAATCTCAAGGCTAAGTGGCATTTCGAACTGCATTTCAGGGGTTAGCCTCACTTCTTTGGGGTTTGTGGTGATTCGGGGCTGACAAAGAGGGTTTGGCCACAGGCCCTGCCTCTTTCAGGTTATGTGAGAAGTGGAGTGGGAACAGAGGATTGACCAGAGCAGCCTATGTTAGTACAGCTGCTAGAAATGAAACCGTTTCTTCCCCTTGTTCTAGAGGCCTGGTGAGCTGTCTCTTTGGCACATGCAGGACTTTTATGCCAGGGAGTCCTGGTAGGTGACAGGAATACTGGGCTCTGTACCTCTCATAGGAAGAAGCCATGGGGCTTCAGAAGGTCCAGGTGGGAGGAATAAGGCTAGGCCAAGCACCCAGATAAAGCGCCTTCATTGTTTTGAGGCCTTGTTTGAGTCTGGCCAGATGTGTCACCCTTGAAATCCCATTGCTAGGGAATTGGTTGTGAATTGTGACATGACAGTTCCGTAGATCTGGAGTATCATTGGTGTGGTTGCTCCCTCTGTCCATGCAGGCAAATCTCAGGTAAGCTGTTTCAACCAGCTGATGTTACCAGCTGTAAGAGTATATTGGAGAAACAAACCAGCCTAATCTTATGTTGCCTTAAAGAGCATCTGTGGATCCCAAGATTAGGTCATTGAGCCTAGTTCTGTAGGCCACATGTGTCTGGTTGCCCCATTGTAAGAGGTATCCGGTGGCCTGATGAAGGGTCTACAAGCCATGTTGTGAGAAATGGTTCAGAGAACCAGGACTATTTAGCCTGGAAAAAGATGATGAGGCAATTTGGTTGCTGACTTGAGGTATTCAGAAGGGGATCCATGAGGCTCAAGGCTGCCTTCTCTAGGAGGTTTTCCCAGTGTGAGCCAGTGTGGTCAGCTCCACCTCTCTCTCTCTCTCTACACACACACACACACACACACACACACACGTATTATTTACTCCCCGCTATTTGCTTACCTGGGAACATAGTGTATTCCCCCAACAGAATGTAAGCTCCTTAAAGTCAGAGTCTGGCTTGCTTGGCACGTAGTAGATGCTAATACATGCTTTCCAGTATTCGATTGGAATATTTGTCCCAAACTCTTCCAAAGGACAGCAGCGGAGCCAGTAGAAAGGCAGATTTCACGGTATATCTAAGTGGTGCCACAGGGGATAGAACACTGGGCCTGGAGTCAGTAAGACCTGAGTTCAAATCGAATCTCAGATAATTGCTAGGCAATACTGGGCAAGTCATTTAATTTCTGTCTGCCTTAGTTTCTTCAGCTGTAAAATGGCAATAATAATACCACTTACCTCTGAGGGTTGTGGTGAGGATCAAATAAGGTAATCCATGTGAAGTGCTTTGCAAACTTTAAATGTAAGTGCCATATGTACATGACATGTGTGATGTGATATGTATGTGATGCACATATATGTGACATAAGGAAGAACTCTGTAACAATTCCAGCTGTTCAGCAGAGCCCAGCCCAGCCCAGTGCCTGGCATCTGGGCGCTTACACATTTATTGGCTGACTGGCCAGCTCCCGATCACTGAAAGTATTTTAAGAGAATGAATCCCTGTCAGGGATGTTGTCAGGAGTAGTCCAGTCCCACTTTTTAGGGTGAGAAGCTAAACTAGATGGACTCCCGAGGTCCCAAGCAATTATTAAGATTCTGTGGGAAATAATGTTGCTTAACTCCCAGATGGAAGCCCAAGGGGGCATTCTGTGTCCTGGAGGAAAACTGGATTATATTGACCACAGATTGATGTAATAATATAAGGATAACTTGTGAGAACAGGTTCTTTGTCTCTTCTCCTAGCTTCAGTTCTTAGCCCTTTTTAGTAATCCTTCCTTCCTTGAGGCTCAAGGGAACTCTGGGTTATAAGAGCTGAGGGAGAAATTATATTGAGTATTTCTCTTCTACTTGACCTTGGCATGATAATTGTACTTAGGAAAATGTCTGTGAGCTTGCTGCAGCCATCTTTTGGGGGAGTGGGGCAAGTTTCCTTTTTGAGGTTCCCAAGTAAGCCTACTTAGGAGGTTTGCTTTCCTGTTCCAAAAGAAGCTGGGATTGCTTCAGTCACTGAGTCTTTGAGGCTGACACCCCCCCCCCGGACCAAAATCCATCTCCCATTTAGTAGCAGACAAGGGTCTCCCTTTTTTTGGCCTTTCTTTGTGTGCCCAGCCCCTAGAACAGGGCCAGGCACATAGTAGGCACTTCATCAGTGTTTGTGGGATTGAATTCTGTGGGACAGATACAAGCAGAAGAAGGAGCTGGAGAGTAAGTTGGCATCTCTGGAATCTGCTGTGGAGAGCAGCCGAGCGGACGAGGAACAAGTCCGAGAATACTACCTGCTTCACTTACAGAAGTGGGCCAACATCAGCCTGGAGGAGATCGAGAGTATCGACCAAGAAATAGTGATCCTGAAAGCCCGAGACTTGGGAAAGCAGGTAGGAGTGGGGCTGCTCTTCAGCTGTGTGCCACATGATGACCTGGAGCCTCCACAGGGAATTCCTCAAATTAGATTTCAGTCTCCAATTTCATAATCGAGCACTCGTTGTCATTATTGAGCTAGGTGGGTCCCACCTCCTTGAGAAGCCCAAGCCTGTCTTGCCTGTCTCCTTAGTAATGAGCTCATGGGAAATCTAAGAATCTGCCCAACAGGTTCACTCAGTGGCACCATCTAGGCTTCAGCCTATGCCAGGCAGCAGATACTTGGTTGAATTAAATTCCCCACCCATTTGCCAAGCACCTCTGGAATGCCTGCTCTGTCTGAGGTGCTGCTGTAGCTCCTGTCTTGGAGCAGCGTTTCCTAATGCTTCCTAGTGCCTGACCTGTTTCTAGATGTGGTGTTTTTGTGGCACACAGGGGAGGAGGATTCAGCAAAATCCGTGGCTAAGATAATGGAGAGGGAAGGGAAGGGATCGGAAGGGAAGAGAGGTGATGAAGAGGAGACAAAGGGAAGAAAGAAAAGGCAGGAGATCTGTTTGGTTTGCAGTCCGCTGTGCTGCAATTTATCCATTTACAGCAGATGACAAAGCACCCTGAAACAGATGATGTGGAGACACAGAATCATACGATTATAGACTTAGGGTTTTTCTTTGCCCTAAAGGGTCAAGATATATTGGGGGGAGGGAGGCAGCTAGGTGGTGCAGTGGCTAGAGTACCAGCCCCGAAGTCAAGAGGACCTGAGTTCAAATTTGGCCTCAGACCAAACACTTGACACTTAATAGCTGTGTGACCCTGAGCAAGTCATTTAACCCCAGTTGCCTAAAAATATATATATGGGTGGGAAAACCCTCACTGTTCAGTCATTTTCCTCTAATTTTTAAAAATTGAGGGCTGCAGCATGAGTTGAACGTTGCTGAATTGACCAGTTGCCTTCAAAAATATTTAATTACTTTGAGGTTCCTCCCTGGCCTTCCGCCCCATAGCTAGCGGCTCTTCTTCCTTTTTCCGGTCTAGTTTGTGTTAATTGCCCTGTGAGTTCTATGCTCTGAGTGACTTCCTAGCTTCTGTTAGAATTTGTTCCAGAGCTACTTTGTTCAAAGATCAAGGAATTAACAGGCTGTCTGAAAAGCCTCTCAAAAGGTCACCTAAAGCAGTGGGTTTTGAGGTTTTACGGTCAAGGACCCATCTATGTTTTTCTCTTGCCCCAGACTCCTAGTCCCCTGTGTGGTGCTGGGGTTGGGTGTGGAGGTGATGGAGTTGACAGAAATTAGCCACGTCATCTTTGACTGTATTGTTTTGAAGGAGGTTCTAAACATGATGTGAGTGCTTCTGACTTTCTCTGGAGTGCAGTGTGAGAATCCCCCGAGGGCTCCTTGAGGCATATTTTGAAGCTCTTCCTTATAGGGAGTGTTACAACACTGGATGAGCTTAGAGGGGCAAGGAAGGCCCAGACTTTAACAGCCATTTTATCAGGAAGCAGGCTAGCCCAGCTGCATTTCTCCATGGAAGCCAGGGCTAAGAGGAGGGTCTTCAGTTCCACAATAAGGAAGTAGGTTAGAAATGGATAAAAGCCTTGAAATCACTTTGTCCAAGTGGTAGTTTTTAAAAGCAGACTGACTGCTTGGGATAGGGTGGTTGCAGTGAGAGCTTTCCATGCCATTGCTCCTTGTCTGCTGCTGCTGTTTCTGGGGAACAGAGACCAGGAAGTGGTACTCAGTGACTTGATGGTAGCCTAGGGCTTTCTGAGGTTCCCAGAACACTGGGAGCCTTTGTGGTACCAAGAGCAGCTCACCTCCATCATCTCTTTTCCTTTTCAGGCATCAACTTCGAGGATGCCTCCACAGAGCAGACCTCCAACCAAACCTTTCATTCTCACCCGGGATACTGCCCAGGCCAAGTAAGTAGCACCTGGGAGGGAGCTTGCTCTTCTGGGCTGTCTGCCATCAGGCTGATATGGCAGGTACATGTTACAAACCTGATGATTTGTACAAACCGTCATGGAAAGGTGACATTCTCCCCTGTGCTCGTTGGCCTCTCCTCAGTCTGTTCCACTGACATTTCCCTTCTAAACCTAACACTTAAGACTTAAAAGAAAGAAAGAGCAGTAAAGAAGTACAAACTTCCTCCCCAGAGCATTCAGTAGGTGATCTGGTCATCTTCACACCCAGACTGGCTGCCTGCTTGTTGGGGGCGTTTGCTTTGAGGTTGGCTTAAGCCATCTGAGGTCCCTCCCAACTCTCTTCACTGGCAGCCTTCCTCCTTCAGCTGCAAATGAAAGACCATCATTCCCTGAGGATTTCATTTGAGCCTTAGGACAGCGTTCCCTCACTAAGGGTCCTACAGTTGTGGAGCTTCCTCTGTGCCCGTACCTGACTAACCCACAGTAAAGCCTCATTTGGGCAGTTGGCAGCCATACCCTTTCTGTTAGGTTCTTAGGCCTACTTCCCTCCCTGGAAGATGCTTCGTCTTCTAATGGAAGCCTGGCCATGCTCTTAGTCACTGGAGCCCAGTTTGCTTATTCTGGGGGTGGCATAGTTTTTCAGAGCTGTCAGTGGGTGAGCTTGTCACTGAAGGGAAGGGGCTGTTTTTGTTTAACTCTCTTTTGCTGATTTGCTTCCTGCAGGGTATTTGGCTCTGGCTATCCCAGCCTGGCGACCATGACAGTGAATGACTGGTATGAGCAGCGCCAGAAATGGGACACACACAAGAATACAACAGGTACAAGTCAATCAGTAAGCAGTTCTGAGGCGCTTAGCCTGTGTGTCAGGTACTCTGCTCGAGCACTAAAGGAAAGGGACCTGGGAAGTGATCAGGGTAATATGAGTTGAACACAAACTACCAGGCTCCTGCTTCCGTGTTCTTTAAATTGGTAGCCAACAGGAGAGGCAGTAATTTATGCTAGGATTTTAGAAGCAAAAAAAGATGACAAGAAGTCAAGATTCTCAGAGCTGGGGGCCTTCCCCTTATTTGGAGGATAGCAGAACCTTAGGAAGCAGAACAGGCCGCATAGGCAAGCTGGGGGCAGCCAGGAAGAACACGGTTTCCCTTTCAGAGGGGTAGAGTAAACCGTAAACAGATGAGCGGTTGGCTTTATTTCTCCTAGGCATTTGCCTTGTGCCAAGTGCTGAGGGTAGGCCTGTAGCAGCTGACTTGGTCGATGTGATCCACACATTCTCTGTGGAGCCTCATGGATCCTAACACGAGTTGGTCCAGCCAATTAATGGGATAGTCTGAGGGTGGGTTGAACACCCTGAGCTCATCAAAGGAGAGTGAACTCCATCTGTGCCCACGTCAGTAGCTCTGCTGCCCACCTCTTCCCCTTACCTTCCATCCCAGGTACTTTTAACGATAGCTTTTTTTTTAGTTTTTTGTTTTCCTGGACTTTGGTCTGTGGATTGGAATCTCTGGAGTAAGAGTTGGTCTGATGAACTTTTGGCCAAGTGAGCCAATTTGGGTGTTCTCTGTGGCTGTTATTTACCCTCAGTAGAGTTCCCCTAGTGTACTTGGGCCCACTCCCTGTCACCTGCAGAATGGTCTAAGGGCCCAAGAGGTTCAGGGGAGTTCTGCTCAACTTTGCCTCGATGGTCACCTCTTCTTTCTCCCTTTGCCCCTTTTAGTAAACCTCAATCAGGAGGCAGAAGATGAGGATCAGGAAACGAAGTCAGAAGAGGAGGATGAGGATACGCTATACAAAAAGCGTAATTGGGATGACTGGAAGGACACACATCCACGGGGTTATGGCAACCGGCAGAACATGGGTTAATCTCACCCTTAAGAAATAGGACCAGAGGGGCTTGAAGCTTTGCCTCCAGAGGAAAGTTGTACAGTTCTTACTCCCCTGCCCTCCTCCCTCTCCTGTGTACAGTGACATCAGAGACAGTTCAGCTGGCTGTGCATTTAATAAAATGTCAAAAGACTAAGTGTGTGCTTGTAGCCTAGCTGATGAGGTGACAGAGCTGTTGCAAACATCACTCTTGAGCAGAGATTCCCAGTTTCCCAGACATTCTCAAGTAAGTGGAAAGGAAAAGGCAATAAGAAATGGCTCTGTATTATTGATGCTTGTATTGATTGTCTTTAAAAAAATAAAGTCCCACGCGTAACTTACACCTCCATGGAACCAAGTCCTTTCCTGGGCTGGGCTAGATAGAAATCCATGGAAGAGGGGCAGCGAGGTGGTGCAGTGGCTAGAGCACCGGCCCTGGAGTCAGGAGGACCTGAGGTCAAATCCGACCTCAGACCAAACACTTGACACTTACTAGCTGTGTGACCCTGGGCAAGTCACTTAACCCCAATTGCCTAAAACAACAAAAAAAACAAAAAACAAACAAACAAACGAAAAGAAATCCATGGAAGAGCTGAGGACTTGGCTCAGTGAGTTCCCTAGACTCATAGCCACTGGTGCTTTACTCTAGCCCTAGGTGACAGCCCCCTTCTGCCTTCCAAGTACTTTGGGCACCGTGACATTCACAAAAGGACAGAAGCAGGGGCCAAGATTTTCCCTGCCTCTTGGCATCATTTTCAGGAATCAGCAGCAGGGCCAGCCATCCCAGACTGTTCCTCAGGCACTACTTGAAGCAGTTTTCAAATAACAACAGTGCCTTAGGTCCCATGTGGAGGCTGTGCTGTGTCAGGGACACAAGATCCTGGGACTCCTGGTGCCTCTGATTCCCACCTCTTTCCTTCATCTTAAGTCTTTGAGGTCAAAACTTCTTCCCTCGTAGCTCCTCTGCGAGCTCCATCTGATCTTTCATAAGTGACATCTTGCAGAGATTGTCTTCTTCTTGGAGGCCACAGGCATCCAGTGTTGCAGAAGTGTTTGCCATGTCTTGGAGAGAAGGTGGGGAGGCTGGCTCAGGCTCTCATCTCTGGCATTTTAATGCTTGTGATGCACTTGTACTCCTCCAGGATCTGTCAGCTCATCACTGTGGCCATTCCTTCCACTGTGTCTTCCCTGAGATCATCACAGAGGAGTCCAGGCTGTAGTCGAAGGTCCTTCCTTGGGTTCTTTGAACATTGTCTCTTTCTCTCAGTATGTGTTGGACCCTGCTCAGACTCACCAGGAGCCTCTCCATTGTCCCCTGGCCAATCCTCAACATGGCTTCTGTGGAGACTTATCACGTGCCGCTTTTCAGCAGCACGTCCCCAGAAGAATGTTGGTATCAAGTAGGTAGGACTTACTTTGTTTCGAGGAGAAGCTTGGGGTCGTTTGAAGAACGTTGCCGTCGCCTCTTCCCCCTGTTCGATTCTGGGCCTAAATTCATCATCCATTTGCAGGATCCATCCCAGATATCTACTGATGGACGAGTTCTGTGTACTGTCCATTCTGTTACATCTCATCTTGTGGACGATAAGCAGTCTTTGTCCATTTGGTTTTTTCTGGTATGGTGTGTTAGGCCTAACTCTTTTAAGGAGTTTGTGGATTTCATTTAAGAGGCTCTGCTCTGCAGTGTTCTGAGTCTTGAAGCAGTCAACACAGTGCCATCTGTGACACAGAAGCATCTAGAGGACATCGCCATCTCTAGAGAACCCCTCAGCCATCTGGACCCTGCACTGAATCTTTTCCAGGACAGTAGCAGATAGATTTGGCGAGCACACATATCCTGTTTTATGCTTCATTTGATAGATTCCCAAGTAGTGGGCCTTGAAACCAGCTTCTGTCTTATGGTTCAGGGGACAGTCTATGCCATTGATATATGCAGAGAGCCAAGTTGGAGGAGAGATTTTCCGGTGGTGTTTGGGTCTGTCAAGTCAGATGCTTTTTTTATTGGGTGAACAGTAAGCACAGTGGAATCTCATACTCTCTCAGTCAGCTGTTTGATAGTAAAGATACTATATGGAATTTCAATTGTGAAAACCTGCTTGCTGATTTCTAGTAACTTTATCAAGTATGCATTCAATGTGTGTGTAGATTACTCTTAGAAACTTTTATATAGACAGTGCCATAACCTTTTTACCACAGGGTGAGTCAGGTGAGGCAGAAGTTTTGGAAGCCTGGTGGATATACTGCACTAACCAGGCTTTAATGAGCAGCAAATTCTTCCCTTCTGTGAGCTTCCAGCAAGTTTTATAAAGACCACGAGGGAAAGTGACAGTCATTCTAGAGTCACCATGACTACTGCCATCAGCTTTCATTCTTGCTTTCTTTTTCCACAGCTGGCTTTACTACCTATGGCTCCACTCATGGGATCAGCAGCTCACCACCACTGCCACACACCTTGCCTTCATCTTCCACTTTGGAGCCCTTAACCGCCATCGGGAGAGGAGGCCTAGGGCAGGCTGTTGCAAGTATTCTCTAGGTCCCCTTTTTCGTTCTTTTTCTGGTAATAAAGTCTGAGATACTTTTCCATGCTTTCGTCATCTTCCCTTTCAGATACCTGGAGAATCCGATCTCTCAGTTCCCTCCGAATGATGGTGCCTCCTCTTGATTTTCTCATCTTCATTTTCTTCAATTGCCATTTCTACTTCCTCTTGTGCTCTTCTTAAAGTCCATATGTGATGGCTATGCTGCCTCAATGGTGAAAAAAGTTTCTTAAGATTATTGCAGATGTTTTCCCTCTTTGATCTCTTTCTCTTCCTCCTTCCCATTTCATCCTCCAGCGCCATGAGGATGGATGCCTATTACTTAGGTCTCTCACCAACATTTCTTCAACCTTCCGCTGCTTCCAGTTTTATGAGATAATGCTGTCCGCAGCCTCCCACCATCTGCTTCCATAAGATTTTTACAAACTTGTTTATATTCGAAATGAGTACTATTCTTGTCTGCCATATTCCTCCACTCAGCAAATAGATCAAGTGTTTGTTGACTAAGGCGGTTTTCAGCATCTGTGAGACTCGTAATTATGGCAATTGATTTACAGTGGTTGAACTGTATGAAATTGTTATAATGATCGTCAATGTCTTGTCCTCCATTTATTTCTCATTTTTTACAATCAACTTGTTTAAGTCTGATTGGAGTTGTTTTAATTGCATGCCATGTCTTTTCCTTATTTTTATTCTGCTGGTTTTGTATTAGTTTTAACTTTTGCTCTAACAAGTCGGTGGTCTTGACTGTATGTAGACAGTTGATTTAGGAATGACTCGCATCAGTAATGAGTCATTCTCTCTTTGTTAAAATAGCAATTAAATGTTTTATTATGGTATTTGGTGCTTGACATGTTCAGCGTATTACGATTCTAGTTGGGCCAGTTGGTGATGAACTAGTTGGCCATGGTAAACCATGAAATCATGAAAAGAAAAATCAAAAATGGTCTCAATCCTGCACAGGGCCTAGTCCAGGCCAAATCTCTGTTGTTATTAAACTTTTGATGAGAGGGATGAGTACCATTGTTTAGTGATTGATAGCATGTGTGGCTGTATTTGGGAAGAAGGGATTTATAACACAAATTCCAGGATTTTTAAGATACCTGGGCCCAGCTCTGACATCTGGAGCTGACATCCAGAAGACTGAATGTATTGAAAAAAAATCTGTAGGAAAGAAATGATCTCCTTAGCAGCTTTGGTTCACTCTAGCATTAGTGTCCATAGGATGAGAAGTGTTGAACGGGCTATCTCTTTCAATCCCCTCATTTTACAGATGTCCAGTCTTTGGGATCCTGGGGCCCCAAGACATAAAGGGACTTTGTATCATGGAATCCAAGAGATGGTAATGCCATTTGGCAACTTGGTGCCAATCCTGATGTGCCTGAGGTCTTTGGGAGCGCAAAATATCCAAAGTACACCCAGACACTCTAGGATCACTGAACCAGAACAGCCTGCCCTAGGCCTCCTCTCCCGATGGGGGTTAAGGGCTCCAAAGTGGAAGATGAAGGCAAGGTGTGTGGCAGTGGTGGTGAGCTGCTGATCCCATGAGTGGAGCCATAGGTAGTAAAGCCAGCTGTGGAAAAAGAAAGCAAGAATGAAAGCTGATGGCAGTAGTCATGGTGACTCTAGAATGACTGTCACTTTCCCTCGTGGTCTTTATAAAACTTGCTGGAAGCTCACAGAAGGGAAGAATTTGCTGCTCATTAAAGCCTGGTTAGTGCAGTATATCCACCAGGAAGCCAGACCGCCACTTAGGTAGCATCAGGCTTCCAAAACTTCTACCTCACCTGACTCACCCTGTGATGAAAAGGTTATGGCACTGTCCTCTTCTGTCCTTCCTGGCCCCCATCAGCTCAGAGGAAGAGCTGACAATCCAGGAGTACCCACCAAAGAGCCCATCCAGAGATCCTTCTGCAGGAGCTGTGTCCAGGATCCTAGAGGGAGCTGGTTAGGGCAGGCACATTCCTGGATAACTGGCACCACCCAAGTGGCTTTGTCTCTTCTCTCTCCTTAGGGCCCCCAAGGCAGTTCTCAAATTCCATGAAACGTCTTGGAGGTGCGGAACGAGAGCTGCCATTGCCTTAGCCATTAAGGGTTACAACCCTTTCTTTGTTAGCACTCTGTGGGGTAGCTATTACAAGCAATAGATTCCTGGCAGTCAGTGGAGGAAGCAGAGGCCCAGAGTCACACACAGCTTGGAAGTGTTCAACAGGGGATTCAAAGCCAGGTCCATGCAGATGACTGCAAAATTACAATTCCTTCCTCTGTCACATTCTGTGGTCCAGGAATCAGGAGAGAGCTGGCTTTGAATCTGAGCTATGTGACCCTGGGCAAGTCACTGAACCTCTCTGGGACTGTTTCTTCTTCCAAATGGATTTGGACTCGATGATCTAAGGTCCCTTCCAGCTCTAGATACATGATCCAAAGCCCCCACCCCCACCCAGTTAAATTGGATTTGAACAGAAGGTCCCCACCCCTAAAGAGTTGAGGTTACTCTGAGGATGGTATAGCAATGTTTGAAAGGACATGAAGGCCATCTCCCTTCTGAAAACCAGCACTTAGAGCTTCTTAGGGAGGCAGTAGTTTGAGTCATGTCTGACTCTATGACCCCACTGGGGGTTTTCTTGGCAAAGATGCTGGAGTGGTTTGCCATTTCCTCCTCCAGCTCATTTTACAGATGAGGAGACTGAGGCAAACAAGGTGAAATGACTTGCCCAGATTTGAACTCAGGAAGATGGGTCTTCCTGACTCTAGGCCTGCCACCTAGCTGCCACCAATGAAAAGGACCCTACACTTGGGGTCCCTA